TAAAAAATGGCTTGTGTTGCATTGACTTCTCTGATGGGTACCATTGAGCTTGAATTTTTGCATCCCAACCACAGAGTTTCTCTTTGTGTTGATGATGAAAAGCTATTGAAATCTGTGTTTGAGAAGCTTTCTTCTATGGAAGCCTTTCTGAAGGAAGAATACAACAACGCTGTGAGTAGTGGTGCTCCAATCCGACGACATCTGCTAAACAAAATCAGAGACTTTGCACTCAAAGCTGAAGATGCCATCGAAATAAAACTCACAAACATCCTTCAACAAAAAGCTGATGAAGGGGAACTCCATCTCCATCGAAGCTTGCAAGAAGTAGCAAAGCAGGCAGAAGAGTTGCTGAAGGTTATCAACAATGATTCCCTTCCGTTGATTGGTTGGTCAGAAGCTGCAGCTTCTTCGCATCCTCACAACATTATTGCATCGTCGGGTGGATCCTTGCAATGCTCTCAACAGTTTGAGGAGGAAGAGGATATATTAATGGTTTGTTGTGGCCATTACTTTATAGTGACAATGAATCGTCTCCTTGATAGGTTTTGTCCAAAACGAGCAGTACTCACAATTGTTGGAGTCCCAGGCATTGGAAAGACTACTCTTTGTAAAAAACTGTATACACACAAAGAGGTTGTATCACATTTCGACATTCAAGCTTGGATTACTATTCTGCCAAGATACAATGGGAATGTCCAACAATTACTGTGCCACCTTCTTCAATCAATGAGCCCAACCCTCAATGAAGAAATTGACATGCTGCAGGGAAGCACTGTTACCCAATTAAAAGAGCAACTGCACAGACACTTGAAATACAAAAGATATTTCATTGTCTTGGATGATGTCCCTAACACTCTGCTTTGGGATGATATCCACCAATGTTTTCCCGATGACTCAAATGGAAGTCGGATATTGCTAACCGCTCTTTTCACTGATGTGGCTAAGTACACCACCACCGGATATCAGACTATCATGACCCTGCCTTACCTAAGAGACAATGAGAGTTGGGATCTATTTTCAAGCAGATTTTCTCTTAAAAAGTATATGAAACCTAAATTTGAAGAAATTGCAAAGCATCTTGTTGAGGAATGCCGAGGATTGCCGCGCGCAATTGTTACAGTTGCAGACCGTCTATCTAAATGCAACTGCACATTGAAGGAATGGAAGAAAATCGAGAAAGAATTACTGTCATTGGGAATTCTGCATAGAGATACACAACACTCAAGTAAGCTTAACAACATTTACAATCGTTTGCCACAACATTTAAAACTTTGTTTTTTATATTTTGTGGTCTTTCCAAAACACAGTCAAATTAATGTGAAAAGACTTATTAAGTTATGGATTGTTGAGGGATTTGTGAAGCCACTGAGGTGTCTACCTTTAGAAGATATAGGTTACATGTATTTAAGGGCTCTTAGAAGTAGAAAACTAGTCATAACAGCCCATGAGTACGATTTCAGACCAAAGACTTGTGAGATACATATTGACATGCATAGCTTTTGCGTACGAGAAGCTCAAAAACAAGGCCTTTTATGTGCAGCAAATAGTCAACAATGTATTGGATGGTCATTAGACATACTCGCAAATTCATGTCGTTGGTTAAGTTTACGCTCACATAGTTTGGACTTTCATGTGTTGTTTAGTTCAAATATCCCTCGCTCCCTTTTCATCTTTCGGGGAGATTTTGAAAGGTTTATATCTCTCAAACATTTAAGAATTTTAGATTTGAGTGAATCTCTAATACTCAAACGAGTGCCATTATTACCCTTAAGGAATTTAATTTTTTAAAGATATCTTTCCATACCACAGTGGTTTGAGAGTTTTGATGATGTAGTATCAAGTAATTCAAATTTGCAAACACTTATTGTTCCTGGCATTGAAGAATCAACATTTGGAGCACGTACTCTTCATGTATTGCCATCCAAAATTTGGGAGTCGCGACATTTAAGGCATCTCAAACTTGGGGATATGTATATGATAGATCCTCCAAACATGGTTAAGGAGCATTTGCAAACATTAGTTTGTACAATGCCAATTCATTTCAGGAAAAAAGAAGTGTATTATTGCAAGTTTCCAAGCATAAGAAAACTGGAAGTTGTGTATAAAGACATCTTAGTGCCTGGTTGCAGCGGTGGGCGATGTTGCAGAAATCCTATCATCATTCTAGAGAATTTTGAGGATTTATTGAGGTTGGAGACTCTAAAGGTTGTGGTTCCAGTTGGGAGTATAACCCTTTTAGAGTGGGTTGGTTTTCCTGCAAGATTGAAGAAGTTGAGGTTGAGTGGGACTAATTTTCCAGTGAAGGTTTTAACGGTAATTGGGCAGTTACCGAAGCTTAAGGCGCTGAAACTAGAGAATGCTTTCTATGGCAGAGTGTGGGAACTGGTTGAAGGAGGATTCCCTGAATTATATGATTTGGAGGTTGAAGCTAGAAGTCTTGAGCGATGGGTGGGGAATACTAGTAATCATTTTCCAAAGCTCAAGAAGATATTCTTAAAACGTTGTTATTCTTTAAAAAAGTTCCCTCCCGTAAGTGTAATAAATAACCCGTTGCGGTCAATCTTCCTAAAGCAATGTCCTCCTTCTGTTGCCACTTCTGCCAAGAGGTATCAAGAAGGCATGTGGCACAGGACAAGTTGGGTATGTAACCTTACTGTTGACGGCAAGTATTTTCGAGTATGTTCCGTCTGTTTCTCTTTCATTCTTTTGTTTATTTTCATTGCAAAATCTGTTTAATATTTCCTTTTCTCACTTGGTTTCATGTTCTTCGTTCCGTTTTTCTCACCTGGTTTCATGTTTAATAGCTGAAGTATTTTGACACAAAAGAATAAGAAAAAGAAGAAGAAGAAGAAGAAGAAGAAGAAGAAAAAGAAGAAGAAGGAGAAGAGGAAGACGACCAGGCCAGTCCTAATTTAATATACACACTTGTTTGCATGTTTAGTATTCATATTTGGCATGCATGCTCATTATATATATATAGGGAGGGGTTCCCATACAAAGCATAGCTCTTGTAAAAAATATGTTGATATTGCAGCTTGTTGGGGAGGCAAAAGCGAGTGATCTCTGTGGCGAGATTGGGGTTCTTTGTTATAGGCCTCAGCTATTTACAGTCCGTACAAAGTGATTGAGTCAGCTTCTGCATATGAACCGTACTGCATTTCTGAATATTATTCAGGCTAAAGTTCGCAGTCCGTTTGTTTTTTCTTTGATAAAATGTAGGATATAATCTTAAAACCAAATGATCCTATGTTGTAAGCTGTTTCATTTGCTTTTGATCTGAGCAGCATCAGAAGGACATTAGGGATCCAATTATCGAAGAAGTTCTCTTAGAGATCAGACAGAGAACATGTTAGCCCGTGGAAGAATGGACCTTCATCCTCTTACCCTCTGCTTCGCGACGCTCAGAGGACACGATCTGCTATTGCATCACTTGTTGACGCGTGGCCTCGATCCAAATGAATCCGACAACAACAGGAGAACAGCTCTTGTGAGTTAACTCAACTCAATATGTGAATTGCTTTTCTTTAAAACACATTGCTTTTTATCCTCAGCATATAGTAGCAGCTAAAGGATATGAAAACTGTGTTTTCTTCTTCAGGACTTTGGAGTTGATCCCAACAGTAGAGGTATGTATTTAACTTCCTTTGCTTATGTTATAATCTAAGATTGAGATAAAAGCTTGCTTGGACGTCACTAATACCACGAGTAGACAACGGGTGAACACAAAGTGGACCGAACAGACTCTGATACCAGGATATAATGCATATGGGCCAAAACCTCACTACACGACTAAATCCAATCAATTACTAGTCTAACTCATAACCTTATAAACCTATATATGTTCTTTCTTATATTCTCAATGTGAAACTCTTAAGAGCTTAAAATGTGTTTATTCTTCACTTTAAACCATTTTTGTTTCTTCTTTCAACACCTGCAGATTCTTAAGGGAGTGTGCCATTGTGGGAGGCCATCTTAGGCAAACATGAATCAGTGTCCAGGCTATTGGTAGACAACGGCGCTAAATTATCCTCGGGCGATGTAGGTCAGTTCACGTGCACTACATCCGAGCAGAACAACCTGGAACTACTCAGAGAGATTCTTCATCGTGGTGGGGATGTAATGCTCCCCAGAAGCAATGGTTCGACAGCCCTCCATATCACTGTATGTGAAGGCAACATCGAGATAGTCAAGTACTTGTTGGCCCAGGGGGCTGATGTCTACAAAGCAGATAGCTATGGGTGGACTCCAAGGTACCTAACTAAGCAGCAAGGCCATGAAGAAATCGCAACACTGTTTGAATCCCATAAAGAGGCCAAGCCTCAACCCCATGCAACAGTTCCTGAAGACCGGCCTGGGGTTCGCTTTCTTGGGAGGTTCAAAAGCGAGCCAACAATCCTCCCGGCCTCACACTCGTCCCCTTTTCCAACAACAGACGGATCATGGGGGCGATCCTGCGCCTAGGGACTAACAACTTCCACAGCTCATTGTTTGGAATAATGTCAGCTGCTCAAAACGCAGCCAGCGCTTTATTCTGTGAAAGAGGATGCACCTGCTGCCACTAATATAATCAAACTTATGCTGCAAGAGTGACGGTTAGTTGCCCCAAGAGAGGAGATGTCGCGGGGAAGGTTATATTGCTCCCTAAAACCTTCCATGAGCTGCTCCAGATTGGTGTTAAGATATGCATTACTACACGGAAGGCCTTTAACGTCGACTATTTAGGGCTTTTAAGGTCGGCTAAAAAGCGATGTTGTTCTGGACGATGTTGTATAGTAAACATGCGACGTCGGCTAAATTATAACCGACCTTGTATATTTTATTTTAAAAAAATAACTATAGACGTCGGTTATTACTTAATAACCGACGTCGTAGACTTATTAAAAAAAATAAAAAAATATATAGTTTTATTATTGATGCTCGGCAAAAATTCCACTCTTCAGCCTTGAATCAGCTCGTTTAACATGTCCATTATTGCAATAGTAAGTCTTTGTGTACATCATATATATATATATCCAACCTCTGCATTCCAGAAAGAAGTTAGAGAATTTATAAAAATAAATTTGACGTAATATGCTAGTTTGGGGACTGGACACATACTATTCAAAGTTTGCAGGAATATCTATCTCTGTTTCAGAACCATTTACAAAGTCAACTAGTGTTTCCTTCAGATCAGATTATTAAACTGAGTAATTGTTGTGTAAAGCCAGAAAGACCATCATTACACTGTGACCATGTCATCGAAACAGTTTATTTTGATTTTTGGAGTTCTTGAACAACATATTATAGTACATGAATGTAATACCTGAACATCAATGTGGCCTGGAAATCGGACAATAACATCAGGGAATCTTGTTACCAAGATCCTTGCCATCTCCAGTCAAATTCTGCACACAAGTGTCACAAGATATTCCCTTCTTTAGTCAGTAAGTAGAAAAAAGAGAAAGGAAAAAAAAAATTACAAATTTTCACAAATACATCTGATAATAAAAACAATTTGTGGGGGATGGGGATTGGTAAATATAGTTACAGAGCAGTTATCTTTTGCAAGGGAAATGAAATAAAAATTCCTTTCACAAATACCTCATTATGACAATCTGAATGATCTTGAGTTCCTAGAGTTGCAGTTTTCAAAGGATCTCCAGGAGTTCCCTACATGCTCTTGCTTAAAGCACATGTATATACTTGAATGCCCTTGCAGAAACCCAAATAAAAGCTTCTATTTGAAAGTGCATAAGTGAAAACCTTCAAAGAGATCATCAAAACCCAAACCCAGACCCTAACCCTACCCAAAGTCTGGGAAAATTACCAAATGTTGACTTCAAATTAATTGTCAAAAGTTGGGTGCAAAAACTGTTTCCCGATTCTAGAAGATGTCATGATCTATAGTCCAAATGTGATTAGGATTAATAACCTATTCACACACAAACTAAGGTTCTTGATCCTAAAGTCACCACTCTCAATCACAAGGCTCAAGCTTTCAAGATCTAATTGTGAGACACGAGAGTCATTGAGAAGAGATACCCAAATCCCATTGAAAAGTAGTACATGTGTTTAGGTCACAATAGTCTGATAGGAAAGATCGTTATATTGTGTAATCTCCGTTTCCTAAACAGTGTACTTTAATTATTAAGCTTTTAGTGGATTTAGGCAAATTCTCAACTTGAGAAGTGCCTCGCAGATTAGGGTTGTTTGCCCGAACTGCGTTATAAATTGTCTGTGTCACAACGTCAGTTTTAACATCACTGTGTGCTGCGCTTATATTTACTTCACCAAATAAATTCAAATAATTAGAAATTAGAAAATATAAATACTCCCTCTGTCCCATTTTGCATGTCTTACTTTCCTTTTTAGTTTGTCCCAAAATGTTGTCCTCTTTCTAAAATTGAACATCACCATCATTCTACTTTTTCCCAAATTACCCTTATGACTTTTGCTTTTATTTCCAAAAGTGAAAAAGTGAAGGGCATAATTGGAAAATACATAGCATTTACTTTAATTCCTTAAAAAGCGTGTAAAAAGCAAATGAGACAACCAATTCGGGACGGAGGGAGTAATAATTAAAAACAAAAACAAAAAAGAAAACTTACCAGCGGAAATGCAGGCGGCGGTGTCGAAGATGCGCGGTGGTTGTGGCTGTGCGGATGAACCTCGGAAGCGTCGAACTGAAGGCTTGGGCGGTGGGCGGTGGGTAGTGTGGCGCTAGGCGGTGTCACGGTGCACGGTGGCGGCGAAGTCTGGTGTCGACGGGCGCGGTGTCGACTTGTCGCGGTCGCGGTCGCGTTGAAAGCTTGGGCGATGGCGAAGGCGGGAGAGGAATGAATGGGAAGGGGATGCTGAATATTTGTTCATATCTTGGGGAAGGGTTTTAAAAACTCTATGACATCGGCTATTAACTAATAGCCGACGTAGTAGGGTTAAATAAATTAAAAAATAAAAAATAAAATAACTTACGACGTCGGCTATTTCAATAGCCGACGTCGTATTGTATTTATTTATTTTTTATTTTTAAAATTATAACGCCGGCTATTAACTAATAGCCGGCGTTATATATATATTTTAAAATAAAAAAAATTAGAAAAGACTTTTAACGTCGGCTATATATATAGCCGACGTTATATGTGAATTCTGTAGTAGTGATGGATTCTTGCCTGCCAAAGTTGTGAGCAAAGAGGGAGCAGAAATAGAAGATATTGAGTTGATCAGAGATGATGATCATATAGTTTTTGTTAGTGATAATAGAACTACAGAAGACAGTCAATAAACTGGTGAATTGTGAGAGAAATGAAGATTTTGAAAGTAAAATTTTTGTGCTCTCCTCTTTTAAAAGTTATAGCTTCAAAGGCCCCAATTCATATAGAATTTAGTGTTTTATAGGAAAGCTGCCTCACAAAAAGTTCCATCAACATCTCACTCTCTAATACTACTAATTAAAAGTGAACAAAAATGTCAGTTAAACGGATATTTAATGCACTGATTGAGTTAGGGGTACCTCTGCTCCCTCGATCGTCTTACCGATTCTTGAGGATGATGACGTGGGCATTCCTCTACCACGACACGTGACTACTAGGCCTAACGTCCTTTCATTCTGGAGTCCTCCCTCTTTCTTGATCTAAAAAATGAATATTTAATCAAAATTTGCATCATATTATAAACCGAAACTTTATTTCCTTATTGCTCTAATTGCTCACTTGTTGATTCTGATGGAATCATCTTTCCATGCCCCTACTAAGACACACAGGACTTTGATTGATCAACAAACTCCCACATGCATTTTCAAAGGCACGGAAACATCAATTCATCATATGCATGGAAGAAAACAGTTAGAACAAAAGAATAAGATATGCAATACAAACAAAGACCTCTAGTTGGTGAAGGAGGTGTCAATACAGGTCGGTTTGCGGATGGACTGAAATATTTTTAAAAAAGTATCTTATATTACCAACCAAGCATCTTGTGCCTAGTTGGTATTAAAAAAATACTTATATTACCATTACATTATATAAATAGGATATATATATATATATATATATATATATATATATATATATATATATATATATATATATATATAGGGTTGCATTCACATGCAAACACTCTTAAAATACAAACGTGTGGCTAAAATCTGGCCATAAGATATGTGTTGATGGACGGATGAGATGTAGGTACAGAAAATAATTAAAGAATCTGTTTTTGGGAATTAAAGGGTAATTAGGGGAATTCAATGATTATTAAATAATGGATTATATTTGGTATGGATTTCGTAGCTGAATTAGGACACTGTAAGTTTGGAAGGAATTCACTACGTCAATGCGAAGCCCTTGCAACGCCGGAGTTCGCACGCAGATGTGTAAGAGAAGGGGTTTAGGCGATTTCAGCGAACATAGAGGCGGCAAACTCAGGTTACTAATTCGAACTGATCATCACCCTCATATAACGACATGTGAGCGATATTTTATGTACTGTGTTTAATGGTTTTGGTTTGGTAGTGTAGTACCCGGGGAATAAGATGTAGCTATATGATGGTGTGCGTAGTGTGAGCGAAATTGGATGAAAACAATTAGGTAGGTTAGATGCCCATAATATGTTCAATGCATTAGAACGGTATATGAAGTAGACAGTTAGGGGGTTTTCTGCATGCACATACAGTTCTGTAGGTTTGCACATGCAGTCCTGTTCATCCCTATGTGCACCACAGGGGTTTAATGTGTGCAATAGCACCCAGTTATTCAAGACTAAGCCATATTCTTGAAAATTGACTACGAAATAAGGTGAGATAGAAGTTTTATAAAATGTATTGTGTGTTTGGTGTAGCCAAATATAACTGTGTGCATGATAAAGCGTAAGTGTGTGCACATTTGTTAATTGAATCTTTAAAGAAAAGTAGTAACATTTACAATTTAGTGGCGCAAGTGGTGTCGAGTGTTGTTAATGATATTGAAGTAATGCTTTGGTGATTAACAGGCGAAGAGCAATATGACGGTGGACAAACCGAATGCGAAATGATAATATCACCCGACAGAACCAAACATTGGTTGCCTACTAGCAATGATGAAAACACATCGTATGTTGGGGCATGACACTTGTAATTGAAGGATAAATTTTTTTAATGTTGATTGAACGCATAATTAATAGGCTGTTAGGTGTCGATTTAGTGAAGTAGTTGTTAATTTAATTACAAAGATAATAGGTGATGCTCAAAGTTTTAACCTATATAGTGAAGAAAACATGTATAGCTTCGTTGTGCACACAGAAATGTGTGACGGTGCACAAAGACACTAAAATGGTAGTATAATTATTAATAAGCATAGGGTGTTAATCGGCGGAGTGCACACACACGTACACATCTGTGCACGCAGACACACATATGTGCACTTAGAGTAATGCAATTGGTTGGGATTTGCACTAATATCAAATGTATGCATACACTTGCATGTCGATGTGCACACAGGCTGCTAAATGGGCGTAAAGGGATTAGATCTCCGATAGCTATTCTAGAATGGTAGTACAATTACTAGAAATTAGAATAGTGTTAACCAACATGGTGCACACACAAATACTCAACTGTGCACTAAGCGTGATGCATTTGGTTTGGAATTGCTCAAATATCAAATGAATACATTTTCCAAGCGTGATGGCCACACAGGATGCCTTCTGGACATAAAGGAACTGAATATTAGATAACTATTAAATGGTAGCACAATTATCAACTGAACTAAATATACGAATGCGAAATTGTTATACATACACATTGAGCATATATTAAACAAGGTGATTTTATATGTGTCGCAATTTGTTACTGTTTAGTCCGAACCCAAGTGTGCATGAAATGAGGTGGTGTGAGCCGGTGTGCACACGGATGTGCGCTGGCACAAAACTAGAACGAATAACATCATTAATAAATATGGCTCCAAAACACCAAATAGTTACAGTGGGAGGAATGGTGTAGTAACTGCAAAAAAGGGCACCACCTACGCAAACCAAAAACCTAAGATAGGATCAGTACAGTTCTCCCAAAATAATGAGCTAATCATTATCTTTAATAATCCATACACATGAATGCAGCACTACAGACCACCCAGGGAGATAAAATAAACTGAAACGCCCGGGAGAGGTTCCTGCACCCATGCAGATTGACAAGGCACCAAAACCGAGTCCTGTTATATCATCCTTCTGCTGGATTGACAAGTCTCGAAGCGCCTCAACTAACACGAAAGCTGTCAACTTAGTATTGACCCTAGGAAATGTCGCATCCTCCTCACTAGTAAGCTCATCATCAGGCGCATTCCACACCGAGTCTTCTTGGAACCTAGCACGGAATGCCAAAGGTGGCGAAACAAAGTCGTCGTCGCTTACACAACTTTGTGAGGCAACAGGATCACAACGGGAAACCCTGGACTTCTTCCCTGAAAGAAAAGCATGTAACACCCACACATGCATACAAGAAGACTGCACACACCCATAACAAACCACGCACACATGTACTACAAGAACCAAGGACAACATAACACGACTATTGATAAAAGCCAAAAGAACACTGTAAATTATATACCAAAGAATGAATCACTTCTAGACACCCATGCTAATAGGCCAACCACATAACCAAACCAAGTGCACATACAACTAAAAACCAACCCGAAACAAAACATAACAAAATTGTAAACACAGTGCACAAATTTTT